TTTCTCTATGCAAATTTACACTTTTTAATAGAAAAACAAAAGGTAGTTCATGAGGCACAACAAACAATATATCATACCTGTAGGCGTTGCATTAAAGGTAGCCCTTGGTAGAGTCTTTTGTCTGGAAAACTTTCAAATTAGGGATGACTTGCTATTGTCCACTTACTGCAACAAAATTGCCTACTAATTGAGGGTGAAGGAAAATAAACTTGGCCAGGAAACTCATAATAAAATATTACAAAAAAAATTCCTCCATTAGGAGAGAACAAATTCTGTTGGTGAAAGTCTTCATCTCCCTTGACTCCTCTATTATGGAGAGTCCTCATTTCTTCTAACTTTTTAATTTTTTTAATTTTATTTTTTATTAACAAGTTGAATTTGTTTACCGATTTCTTTATGAGTTTTAAATCGATGGCTACAATTTAATTTCATAAATCGGATGGTGTTTATTAATTGACCTTACAGTTAGGCCAAAAATAATGACCTTACTGCAGAATTTGCCAGAAAAAATATAAAAGAAAAAACCAAGCGTGATTAAGTAGAAAAGAGGAAATTAAGATAAAATATTTTATATAACATTATCAATATTTATAAAATATTTTGCATAACGTTATAAAATATTTAATAAAATATTTTATGTAACATTATAAATATTTATAAAATATTTTGTGTAACATTATAAAATATTTAGTAAAATATTCTGTGCAACATTATAAATATTTATAAAATATTTCATTTAACATTATAAATATTTATAAAATATTCTGTGTAAAGTTATAAAATATTTATAACGATAGAATATTAATCAAAGACTAAATTTTTCTAGCCCAACCCCTGATCTAGATGGCTAGATGCACTTGTCGTCCTCCTTGAGATCTTGGCTTCGAGGGCTACTAGCAGTGTTGGTGGCAATTGTTGAAACCCTACAAAAAAAAGACTATCATGAAAGAATCAAAGATCAAATCAAGATAAAATATTCTATATAACATTATAAATATTTATAAAATATTTTGTTGAAAATAAATATTGTGTAACATTATAAACTATTTAATAAAATATTTTATTAAAAATAAAGCTTATCACCAAGTTACAAAATATTACTTGTTTAATCAAAGACTAAAAATCAAATCAAGAAAAAATATTCTGCTATTAAAAATAAAATATTTTGTGTGACATTATAAACTATTTAATAAAATATTTTGTTAAAAAAAAGGCTGATCACCTCACAAGTTACAAAATATTATTTAAGCTTAGCCCACATGTATACTTACATATAGGGAGAATTTGCAATTTCTCAAAACTTGGCCTGATCTCAGATGCTTATGAGACAACTTTCTTTTCTAACTTTTAACAAGTTCATGATTAGTTTGCTTATATAAAGCACTGACATCTTTTGTAGTTAGGCAATATGGGATAAAAACTTTATGAGATATCATTATATATCCAACAATCTCTTACATATTTCATAAAATTTCATAATAGGAAATTTTTATTGGATCTAACCTCACTCAAATGTATTGCACCAAGAATGGTGCGTTTTGAGCTATGAATCAGTCTTAGAAAAAATGAAATATAAATCACAGAATTTTAGTGAAGTTTATAACTTATATAAACCAAAAATTCTTTATGTAAAATATGATTTTTATCACTCACATTATAGACTCACAATTTTTGCTGTTCAATGCAGTTTTGTGTGAATAGGCCATATGCATGCTTGGTTATTCATAAGTGTTTTAAAGAATTTGTGACAATTCTCATAAGAGCGATTCCATTGTCACAGGCTTGCAACTTTAGCCAAGTTCGGTGCGACGTTGTAGTGTTGTGTTTGTAAGACTAAGCAATCCTAAATGAGTTTTATTGATGATCGGGTGGAAACATAAAGTAAATAAATATGAAGAAAGAGATTGAGAAGAATAAATAAGTATTATTGCTCTAATAAGAGAAAAACAAAGTACCTAAGACCTAAGTATAACGTAAATTTCTTGATTTAGCAAAATTGATTTGATTACCTTATAATGACTCATAAGGGTGTTATTTATAATAGCTTACTTAACCTAAACTTGGTCGCAAGTAAAAGTAAATATGGATGTATTGAACCTAAACTTCCTTGAAGTACATGAAAAGTAAAATTTTGAAACTATGCCTCCTTGATGAGCAAGTAATCAATAAGAAAAACTTTATTTTTGGAAAGTATTCTAGCTACCTTAGAATATTTGCTTGGCTGCCAAGACAACAGTAGGTGGACCACTGCATGTGGACTGGCTCGACAGACCATACAGGCTAGATTAGTCACAGATTTGCAAACCATGATATTTTCTCTTATTTGATTTAAGCAACACTCTCGTTGCCTCGTGGTCTCTGTCCACCCCAAGTCTTCATCAAGTTCCCCACAAGCATCATAGGTGTGTTTGAGGCAGTTTTTCTCCAATTGTCTTGAGAACACTTTCAAGTTAGGATGTGTTTTGTAATGTGGATTACTAGCTCGCGGTTGGCCAATGTCATCCAAGTACACAGCTCCTATGTGTGTAGTGTCTTTGTTTATAACACACACAGAATTTGAGCTTGACGTGTAAGTAATGTCAAAACTTAGTGAATTAAGTCTCCTTTGCCTCGTAAGGAAGTTGTGGAACATGTCTTCCCAGTACTTATCTGCCATCAATTCATCTAGCCTTACATCATGGCGAATTAATGAATCCACCATGTTATGCCGTCCTTTATGAAACTCATCGTTATTGGACCCTAACTGCTCGATGCTATCTTTGACCTGTTTGAAGTTGCTCCACACCTCGTGATTGATAACCGTCTCATGGAGAGATACGTGATTATCTAGTGTGTGCAAGATGGCTTCAGACTTGTAACTCTTCGCGGCACATGTGTGCGTAGTTTCCCTATTTACAATGCTCATATTATCTTGGACCAAGGCGTTTAAGTGGGATGCGGTCTAATCACCAATTGATGTCATTCTCTCTCTCAATCTTCAAATCGTGTGATACCTAGCTTTGGAAAGCATTACTCTGATATCAACTGTTACAAGCTTGAAACTTTAGCTAAATTCCTTGCGATGTTGTAATCTCGTGTTCGTAAGACTAAGCAAGCTTAAACGAGATTTCTTGACGATCGACGCGAAAGCATAAAGTAAATAAATATGAAGAAAGAGACTCGGGAGAATAAATAAAGTATTATTACTCCAATGAGAGAAAAACAAAATACCTAAGATTGAAGTTCAAAATAAATTGCTTGATTCGACAAACTTGATTTGATTACCTTACAATGACTCCTAAAGGTGCTATTTACAATAACCTACTTAACCTAAACTTGATGTGCAAGTAAAAATAAATATGAAAGTATCTAACCTAAACTTTCTTGGAATACAAGTAAAATCCTAAAACAATGCCTCCTTGATGAGTAAGTAATCAACAAGGAAAGTTTTATTTTTGGAAAGTATTCTAGCTGTCTTAGAATACTTTGCTTGGTTGCCAAGGTGATAGCTGATGGACCTCTGCATGTGGAATGGCTCGACAAACCATACAGGTTGGACTAATCATGGATCTACGGACCGGGACACCCATTCCATACTTATACAGGTGATTACATTAAGTGTATACTACAATTTAATACACTATTTATAAAGAAAATGAAATTCATTAAAAGTTTAACTCAACATCTCCTTCATTGCAGTTTTGCACTATTTACACATTATAAGAAGAATAATAATTTTAATAGTGTATCAATTTATCAATAAATAACTTATACCTATATGAACTTAATTCATGGGATTGCTACTCACATAAGTTGGGTTGCTATTATTGTTAATTTTTCTCAATAGATTTAAATATTATTCCCCTTGATGTATCATTAATTAATTTTTTTCTTCAAAGGTTTAGTAAGAAGATTAACCAAATTCAATTATGACTTCACATAATTAATGAACATAATTCCATCTTTTAAGCAACTACTTTGCCATATTATGTCTTAAATGAATGTGTCTATTCTTACTATTAAAAATTTTATTTTTTGCAATGGCTATTGCTACTTGGTAATCATAATGCATAAAAACAAAAAGTGTTGATTTCATTTCCAACAGAATATTTGTTAAGAGATTTTTTAATCACTCAACCTCATTGCCAACTAACTCCAATGTTATAAATTTTGATTCCATTGTAGATTTAAAAATTATTATTTATTTGGCTGATTTTCAAGTTATAACACCTCATCATAGGTGAATATATATCCACTTGTGAATTTTGTTTCATCTGAATTTGAGATCCAATTAACATTATTATATTCATTGTAATACAATGAGAAATCTATTATATAAAATACCATAGTTTATAATATCTCTCAAACATTTCATTACTCTACTCAAAGTAGTCCAATGATCTCAATTAGTACTTTCAGTCTACACAGTATAAGCTATATCAGATCAAGTATAATTCATCAAATGAATTAGATTCTCAATAATATGAATATACTCAGAATAAATCACACTATCACTTATTGTTTTAATTGAATATTAACATCATAAAGAGTACTTACAAGTATGATATTAAAATGTCTAAATTTTTTAAATAACTTCTTAACATAATGTTTTTGTGTTAAAATTAAGCCACTTTCACATCTGATTTTAACACTCAAAATAATATTAACTTTCTTTACCAAACCAAAAGTTGATATCCAATCTAAGTACAACTTAATTGTAAAAAGGTTAAGGCTAAGCACACTAACATCATATATTATTTTGAAAGGAAAAACAAAATAGTTGACCTTCCAGATCAACACAAAAATCACACATCTGCAAGTTTCCATAATGGGAATGCATTTAAGCCTCTGATTTATTCACTAACAGATTTATAACTTGCAAATTTTTCTAGCTGCCAGCTCCAATGAACTTACACCAAAAAGCCCTATTTCCATACATCATAAATGCTCAATTAATGTATAATATAACTAAAGCTGTAATAAAGCACTACTTACCAATCAGAATAGGCAGAGACATCATAGAAGATTGGTAAATACTAAATACTTTGATAAGTACTAATTGGATTATTCTAAATAAAAACAAGAATCAAAGATCCGAGTTAATTTTCACAGAAACCATGACGGCAAACATCAATCTGGGACAACAAAAAAGCTGAAGGATTGTAGATGGAGACACCACCAAAGTCACAGCTTGTGTGTTCTCCAAAAGCATATCACAAAAATAATCACACTGAAACTTAATAGGTCCTAACAAAAAACCAGATGCCAGATAAATCAATTAGATGAGGGTCTATCTTTCTTTCCAGCCAGAATCATAGATATATGGAGGCCTCTGCTGAATGCTTGATTAAAGAGAATGCGTGTTTGGAATTCGGATACCGATGGAAGCCATGATAAAAAGGCAATGGGCGTGAAGAGCAGCAATCCCGTTATGTAGTCGTATGCTCTGGCTAGCTCCTTTACTGCATCCCAGATTAGCTTATACAGCAAAGGTCTGCATGCTTGCCCAATCTAGGAAGGACAAGGAAAGGGAAAAGCAATGAGTTGGCTTAGTGAATATGTATTACTTATCTCCATGAAATATCTACTCCTGGTGTTTGTGAGCTTACAGGATGCATAATCCTGTGCTTTCTCAAGGTACAATATTTAAAAGGCATTTACACCCCCCATAGGGTTTTGGATGCTACTACAAATAGGTTTAATTTAAAGGAGTGGGGGTTTTCCCTTTTTTTCCTCCCAAAAGTTAACAAAGTGAAATTCTTTAGTGTAGTTTGAAAATTGAACATACGGACATGGAATCAGAATGGTAGCAGTAGGTTGGCAACCAGAGATGGAAAATAGATTTTTGCAAGATTTTGCAGAAAGATTTTGGAAAACCAGAGTAGCAATAGGTTCTCTTTATAAGGCATTATTGAAGTACAACATTTTAGTGATTCCCAAACTCTTTGTTCAATGCTTGAATAAATTATCAACAGCTGAGAAATATATTTGGGAACATTTAATCATGTTATATATTTCTAAGGCACTTTCAATAAGATGTTGTTAGTGTTGAAGGTGAATATCAAACTTATCTAGTAAATCATTTGTTGTTTATACCATAAAATTGAGATCAAATTTTGCCATCATTGGGGGTTGGCCAAAGGAGGGAGAAGGTTGATTGGATAAAAAAAATGCAGTTAATTTTAGCTATGATGCAACTGACAAAAAACAGCTTAAAAGAAGTTGAAGACCATAAAATTCGCAAAACTTACGAGAATAAAGGCCCATCCTGTGGGCATGAAGGCAAGGATAGATGCAAATAAATCTGATACTGTGAGGCCGCATAGTTTGAATAAGAGGATTATTATTGCCAAGAAGAAAAGGAAAAGAAACCCTTTGAGCATTCTGAGTGCTAGCTGGAGGTCCATATGAAACATCTGCAGTCTACGCACTGATACCATCTATATAGTGATGTGGAGAACATACGAACAGAACACCAAATCAATCAGTAAATCAGTGAGTAATGAATGAATAAAAAGAACATAATAGACCAACATCACCAAATCAATCAGTAAATCAGTAAGCAACAAATGAATAAAATGAACATAATAGACCGATATGGAACAAGAATAAAGTGTACAAAAACATGCCTAGCGCCAGCACCTACATTCACGTGCATATGAAAGCATTTTGCCAACCATAAAATGGTGGGAATAACTTTAAGCTACTATTAGAAAACTTTATATTTCATATTTTTACCTTGGTTCAAACAAATTCCATTAACCTAGTCCTCATAAGAGTTACTTCATAGTTTCAATTTCAATTGCATACCTTTGGGACTATAAGTATTACTAAAACAGCACACCAAGAGAGTCCATAAACCTGCAAATAAAATACAAATAACAAGCTCATGGCGGTAATACTAATCACAGAGAGAGAGAGAGAGAGAGTCCAGTAGGCCTAAATGAACCTTAATTTGCAAGGAAAAACAGTATATACTTTGCTAGCATATTATACCAGAAAACTCCTGCTGTGATGGGCTATATCAAGGTGGTAGACTATTCCATACTGGTAGATGAAAAAGCGTAGTGCAAGAAGAATCTCAAGCAGCCTTCCCCTGATACTTGTGTATCTAAGGTGCTCTTGTTCTCCATCCCACCATGACTCCCAACTTTTCTCAGGCTGGATTCCGACCCCACCACGAATCCCCATCCACCGCTTCCAATCTGTCCAATCATCTACAGTTTTTTGCCATTCAAAACCCGATGGATTAAATATAAAGGGAGCAAATAACCAGGATCCAACCAGAAACCACATTGAGAAAGTGATGAACAAATAGAGACTTGAACTGCGATATGATTCCCCATAAACTTCATATATGACAAGCAGAAGACCCAGTTCCAATGCTTTTACAAAGTGACTTCGCGAGTACAGCCTGTAGTTATCAGCAAACGTAGCATGTACAACAACAAAACCACGCCCAGTAGCTCGATATTTCGAACCTCCATGCAAAATTGTTCTCCCAAAATAATGTGCCTTTGTTCCAAGCTGGAATGTAAAGAATACAGAAGATAGCTGCAGCTGCATAATGATAAAATTACCCAAAGCAGTGCGGAACCCTTTCTCCAAGCCAATCTCCATTAACATGGGCAGTACCAGTAACATGCCCATCTGAATGAAAGACTGTGTAACTAAAGCTGCTTCTAGGGCCTTGTTCTGTTTTGTGCTTGGATTCTCTAGTATCTCTCTTTCCAGCCCAGTCATAACCATGTACAAACGCCCATAAAGGAATACATATACAATAAGGATGGTAACCTGAATCAAAATAGGGTCAGAATCACAGCAACACCTATTCCAAGTATAAAAGAGTACAAGCAGGACCACTGGCAAAGCAGAGGTCAAATAACAAAACCAGCCATGTGTCTAGTATTATCCAGGTGCCTACACTTATGTGCAAAGAACGCCAAATCACATTAACTTCAAACTTTAAATTATATATGTTATATGGGAGTGTGCAGCAACTTCCCAAACAACTATCCTACTACAGAAAAACTGCAGCTTCAGTATTAAGGGTCCCACACCTAAACATCATCCAAAATTTGTCATAATTGTCCTTTCCAGAAAGATACCTTTGTCACACAGAGTAATATAAGGTTATATAACTCATCTAGTTACCTAAAATTTTATGAAGTCAAGTTTTAATGTTTGAAGTAGCTAAAATATATATACCATGCTGTTAAAATAGAAGCCAACTGTTGTACAGTAGAATGATAGCATTCTGAAGAAGTCAAACCGACATCCAAGACGGTGCACATCACGACTAAGTGTTTGTTCCCCATTTCCATTTGCAACTTTGGCCTCAAAAAGTGATATCTGATTCATCCCCACATCACGCCCTTTTCCAACTTGGATATAATCATGGTGTGTTACATATCCCCGACGAAGAGTTGAATTGAACCCTGAAGAGTTTTAAGCAATTAACCGCTATATTTAATACATGAGATTGCATATTTCAATATTTGATGATTACCTGCAAAAATGTCCTCACTTAAGTTAATAGTTTTTGAGGCTTTGCTGATGCCACCCCTTGTTATGTGGAAGATTCTGTCAAATATATCAGGATGACCATAATGGAATCGCACCCTGCAAAGATAATCATTTAAAGGAACTACACTGGTTATGGTAGAAATAAGTAAGCTCACAGGGAAAAGAGTTATACATCTGATTTGAAATAATTATCAGTGTGTTTAAATATTGGACTTTGATGAATAGATAGGAAATAGCCCTTTGTACCAAAAAAAGAAAATAGGAAACAGTGATTGGGAAAGTATTGCTGAAAGTAGAATCACTCAAAATCATCACTTGAAAAATTTTGTTTTCAAATATACTGTCATATACTATAATGAACAGAATCCAACTTATGACAAACTCATGCTCAAAATTGAGTAGGAAATGCTTAGCTTGACTCAAATCTATTTGCAGCCTTATTGGAAGTTACGCAAAGTCAATTAAATTAATTCTTTGTTAGATCCAATTCAATAGCATTGCAAAGATTTAATTTGGAATGTTGTGAGAACCAATCTAACTAGGAGGAGTTATCCTCTATGACGGTTAGTTATCAATAGAAGAAATGCCTATTTAACACTATTATTGTGTGGGTTATTGCCATAACAAAAACCACAAATTAAGCTCCTCTTGTACAAAGCTCAAATTCAATAAAAATATTAATAGTATTTTATGCACAAAGTTTCACAAGCACTCAGTCAGTTTGGATGATAACTTTAGGTTTACCTAAGAGGACTTGCCAAAAAGCGTTGGCCAATAGTCACAAAGCTGGTCTCTTGATTGGACATAAACCAAGCAAGTGATGAAACACTGTAGAAGAGGGAAAAAATTATAAGCAAAAATTAGTACTTCACATTATTTTGCAAATGAATTTTGCGTATTGACTCTCTTTTATCCACTATAAAAGATCAATAAAACTTATTAAGATAAGTGGTGATACTAACCTTCCCGTAAATACATGCTCCCTTAAACCTAATATTGTAGGTTTTTGTGCACCATGGGAATGTGGGAACTCTTCCAATACATTTCTCATTTTAAAAGCCTCTTCAAAGTAATTGTCCTAAAATCAAAGTGTCAAAGACATAGTACAAATATAAAAAATGTGATTCCTTAAAAGACAACAGAAAGGCAACTACCTGGTTCATATCTATAGTTTGCAAGGCCTCTCCACGAGTAAATATAATGGCATGATTTTGATTTTCAGGTTTCCCTTCACCAATTTTTGTTGGAGGACCAGGAAGCTTTATACGGTATATTTCCTAGAAGTACACATGTGATGCCAGGTTGTTATAAGAAATTAGCAACTTTAGAAAATATAAATAAGAAGCATCTGGACAGGGCATTTTTATCTGATCAACAGTTGGGCTGTCAAGTAATGCCATAAGCAATTGGAATGTCAAGTAAAGCCATGAAAGTTGGGAAGTAAATGTTATAGTAGTCTAGATGCATACCTTAATCCAACAATTAAAAGAGCATTCTGTTTTAAACATTATATTTTAGGTGCCTTCTGTAGGAGTGACATCAATTCAAAAATTCCTAGCACCATCAGTTGTTATCAAAGCATTTGTTCTTATAATTGATCTATCATCAATAGTGATTTTTCGTTATGAGCTTTGTTGCTAAAAGTTTGATGAGGTGTTCTGATAATAGCAACACTTAATGGGCAAAAAAATAGGCTTTATTAGTAGTTTGGAGTCTCAAGACCTTAAAATGAAGTTTCAAAATTAAATAATTCACATGTGAAACTTTCAATCATAACAATTCGTGTTCTTCATTACCTGTTTTACTTACATTTAGTTTTAATTGATATTTAAGTTATTTATGCATCTCATCATTTGCTTGCTATATGTTAATGGTATTCATTAATTTCTATATAAAAAATACTTTATATGTTAATGGTATTCATTAATTTCTATATAAAAAATACTCCTATAGAAATTGACTCCAATAGAGTTCCAAGAGTTAGAATAAAATTCACATGTCCATACACCGACTAAATGCAACAATTTAGACAATTGATTTATTGGAGCTAGCAAGTGTGAATATCTTGTAAAGTAGGATATCACTCTCTGATGGTCTTATAGGTTTTGGTTGCACATGCAGTTCCTCCTTTGCTTCTAAAAGACCTAGTTAGGACCAACGAGAATGCATGTAACAATACACTATGTTCTACTCCAAATCTAGAGGAATTTGCACTAATTTCTGGTCTCAACATATCTTTGAGTGTTAGGTTATACTTTACTTTTTCGGCATCCTGCTTTCTATTAGTAGATATGAGAGAGGGGAAAAAAGCTAGTTCCTTACGAGGAAAAGCTTAAACTTATTTTCATAGCTGCAACATGTACTCATATACAAAATTTATAAACAGTAATTTTGTATGCATAATTATAGTGGGCTATGACAGGCAAAATATTCACTCACTCCAACCGGAATCAAATTCATACAATCTACCTCATTAGGCCTGTACTTATTATAAATGGGTAAGGATTGCCAGATTCCCAAGAGGGGAAGCATTAAAAATTTAGTATTCTTTACGCAATTCCTATAGCAAATTAATTTCAGATCAAACTAACACTTACTCTTTCACAGCTATTCATCGTATCACCCTTGAGAAGAACAGAGGAATAAACTTTCTGAGTTTTTCCCCCAGTTTTTTCCTTCACAGGCTCATCTACTTCATCAATGTAAGCAACACGCAGTGATGGGTACCTGTAGAATTTCAAAAGTAAATAGCAATGGCATCAACAGTAGGTTCATATTAAGAGTTGTAGTCCTATGACTGCATTTTGCAAGATAACTTACAATAGCATGAGATTTAGAATATCCTTTTGACGAGAATCATTTGAATTTTTGAGAGTTCCATATATCTGACAAGAAACGACATAGGTGAACTTCAAATCAGGTAGTGCTTGCTTTCGAATACCATCCTCCTCGCTCAAATTAGCTGCAAAGGAATTGAATATAAAGTTAATAACTATATGGCATGATATTTAGCTGAACTGATAGATATTGAAATGCAACAATGTAGAAGATATTTAGAATTTTCATCTCAAGTCTAAGAAAACCATAAATCATTACAATTAGAGTATTCCAGGGAGCACTGAAGTTCTAGAGCCTTCTTGTAGTACATCATCCCTCGCACTGGTAGAAAACACATAGGAAAAAATAACTATGTCAAACACCTAAAACTAACTATTACAATTTAAGTTATTGTATGACAGATTGCTAATTGACCATCATCATGCAGACCTGATCTAGAGAGTGTCTGCCCTCTGTAACTCACCCACTTACGAACATCCTCCTCATCAGGTTCGCAATTCATACGCTCCAGGAAATTGGTCCATTCATCTAGTTTGCATACATTGCTAGCTTAATTGAAGTTATTCCACATAATAAACAGTAATACAGTAATGGGTATAGAACTCACCTGGATATATCGTCTTCAGGTAAAACAAAATTGATATCCCATCCTCATTTTCTTTCTTCAGTTCTTTATCAGAGTAAAGAACATCTTCTTTGTAATGTGGAGTCAAAACACTAAAACAATAAATTGCGAGAAATGAATTTAAGTTTCAAGAAGGAACTAGTTTACAGCAATATCTTTTTCAATTATATTTGGATGTTAATTTGTATAGAACTACCCTAAAGGTCAACCAATCATGAAGCAAGTATTTAGATTCACTGTTGAAGTGATCAAAGAAACTACTTGTGGATTGTACCAGATCTGGTTTTTAATATAAGAGTCTTGAAATTGCCTAGAGTTACTGACCTGAAGGAACGCATGTTACTAACTTTTGGTGCAATTCGCATGTTCATAAACAAGGAGTTTGCAAAGAAAGTGATTCGGCGACGAGCCTCAGAATTCAGAGGCACATTAGTGGCAGATTCCTTGACAGTCAGAAGCAAATGAAGCCTATTTACCTGGAGAGATTTTGTAATTTGATAAGAAATATATCTCTTTTTAAAATATGTGAAAATGATATTTAAAAATAAATATTTTTCAGTGCCTTCTCACTCCAGATTGTGCCTTTTATATCACTAATATTTATCTTTCTAAATCTCTGCTTTTTATTGTACATCTGAGATACTTGATCGCGTTTCTGATCTCCTCTGAGAGTGTTATTAATCATAACATCAAGCATGATACTCTCCATGATATCCAGGAGGGCTATGGTTATTTGAGCCTTGAATTCTTTATCATCTGTACAATCAGCCATCTGTGACATAACAACTCAAGAAACAGGTGCTTAATTGCGTACATGGAGAAAAAGTGAAGGGATAAAATGCAGAAGAATAAAGGAAACGCAAAATAAGCTCAATTATTACCAAGATGTTAAGGAACTTCTCCAACTTTACAGCCAGCAAAGGCATACCACTCATTCTGAAATTTTGCAAAAAAGTTTTGTTTCTTAAACTTTCAGCAATGGCATCATAGATCTCCTCTACAAACCTATCCCAGAAAGAGAAAATGGAAAAACAACCACAGACCTTTAATTTTTACTAAAAGAGTAATGTATTCTTAACTGGCTAGATGCCATTAAGAATTATGTCTGCAAGTTCAAGCAGTTAGTACAAATTCTTCTGCCTTACTTCTTGTCATCTTCATCTTCTAGAAGGCAGAATATAAGATCCCCAAGTGTGTAATAACAATCTTGTATGGCTGAACGGATATATTTATCACTCCCAATCATCTTTTTTAACTCACAATCATCCTTCCCCTTAAACTCTTTTGCCATGTTTAAGGTAGCAGGAATCTGTCACATGTGGAAAGAAAAAATATGTAAAACAAAGACTTCATTACATGTAATGGTTAACAAGAGAAACACTCATAAGGGTTTACTTTACTGGCTAGCAAGAAGAGTGGCCACTGAACCATAGACTCATCGCTTGAAGGAAATGGTAAAAGCAGCAAATCTCTGTCCCTGGAGGGGAGAATAAGTATTAGAAAGTGTGCTTGTATAACTGTCTAATAGTATGTAATCTAAGGGAAGAAGAAGCTCTAACCTATTGCTAATCAGATCCTCCATTCGCATGGAAGATATGAACTCATTCCACATCTGAGAAAACTTTGCCATGTTTTTTGGTTCTTTTGAATTACGCTGGGGAATTATTTATGTTTAGCCAAAGAAATAGATAAGGTTGAAAGTCGTGATTGTATAAATTGATAATAAGCATGTTACACACATCAACGACATTTATCTTGAAAGAAAATGCTTTTGCAATGTGGAATAAAGTACTAGAACTCCAAAAATTTAAGACTGATTGTGCAGACAAGTTATAATAGCATTACCCAGTCTTTCGTCTTTGCGACAGGTCCTGATGGTGACACAAAACAGCGGTCAAAAGCTGAAGGCATAGATTTAAATCTGGACTGCAACATCCCAATTGTTCGAATCTGTGGATTGATTGGAACAAAGGATGAAACTAAACGTCAGTTTCTTTCATATTAATCCTAAACGTATCTTCTATGACAGTGTGTGAATGAAGTGGCCTCATACCTCACCCAAGTGTCGGAAGGCTCCTAGAGCTCCACCCAAGAGGGTAGAAAATATGGTGTACCATATTTGAACGTCCATGAAATAGACCTACACAAAAGTGCTCTCTTAGAAATGGTACAAGTTATAGGACAGACGTTAGAGTTAAGACTAGCGTGTCAATTTGTCATACTAAAGTTCTTAAAAGGTTACTTACTAGGACAATTGGAGCCCATATTGCAACAATGACTCCCAGATTGTGCTTTACTATAAACGTTAGAGAATATCAATTAGCATAGGTGAAAGTAAATATAAAAAGATTTTGATGCCATCAGAAGGAGAAACAAAAGATAATAAAGAATAATATATTACCATTGGAAATAAACTTATGCAACAGGTAGTCTTCTACATGTATCTTCATGATTGCCTTTGATGGTCGAACAAGTGGCAATATCTATTGACACAAGAAGTGAAAAAGTGATCGGCAACTATCTGAGTTTCATAAATCCTCAAAGAAAACAACACTTATAAATAATTTGATGGAAATGTTTGAAAGATCAATAATTTGAAAATTAGAGCCAATGGAATTGTTCTCACTGATTGGAAAATATAGTCAAAATTTGAGAAATCATCTTCAACTCCAATAATTACTATTATTTTTAACATGTTTATTCTTTGGTACTTGAAGTCAGGTAAGAAGAAATTTCAACACATAAATTGAAACTGAGGGATAAACCTAATGAAAGCATGAAGAAGATTTTAGCATGCTGGAGGAAAGATCAAGCAATGGCCAAACCAAGGCTGTTAAAACCCTCAAAATTGGTGTCAGTGTGCAGCAGGTTGGTTCTGAAAAGAGAGGCATCTTGGAACCAAAATGACTTGGATCAGACCTGATAAATCTCTTCACCAGCAAGTACACCTAATAAGACCACATGGTATCACATTTTCCTAAGTGATAACTCTATTCTCTACAACCAATGGGAACACCCTTGGAGAAAAAGTTATGCTGCATTTTCTGGCAATGATTCCATTTTTAAAACTGAAAAATATGAAACAATAATCGAACAAAAGAAAGAAAAAATAAGAGAAGAAATCATCTAACTGTGAAAGAATTAACTTCTTGATTCAGATGTCAAGCATTATGTTACTAGGAGCAACTGGTGGGATCATTCATGCAAGATGTCCCTCTACACAAAGCATTGTTCTGGTACAGATTAGCTAAATTGAATATTTTGACCATGAAAAGATATGCATTAATATAAGGGAAAAATCACCTCCACATAGTAACTGAATGCTAGCTTGACACTTAGCACCAATATCCAAAATATTGTATACCTGAGAGAAAAGAAATACTATTCATTTAATGCAAGATGTTAAAATCCTAGCACAAGGGGGAGAACTTTAAGCATGACTAGGGAGACAAAAGCCCAATGAAAACATCTTTTTCTCTTACTTTAGAAGTGAAAAGGTTCCTACATGCATGCCTCTTCCAACGTAAAGTTTTGGCTGCAGCAAAGGAAAATACAAATATAATAGATGACTTGAAAACTAAATTAAGAAAATAACCAAGGAATGTAAGGGAAAAAGACTAACAATGCCCAGACAGAAGAAAAAAAATAAATAAGAAGAATAATAAAAAAGCAACAATGCTAAATATGCTTACCTGAACCCACCACATAACAATATTAATTATTGGCCAATCTGATAACTCCATTTTTTCCCGCAAAGGAGGAAGAAAGAACAGTATAATAGCCAGCACATCAGGTATCAAATAAAGTACAACAAGATAATTATACAATGACTGATTGTGCGAATCCCCAGCCCAGTGGTTAAGAAACTTCATCAGTCCTGTTGGATCCTGCACAGAATTGGAATATCCTACCAGCAAAGCCACCACCCAGAAAGATGCCACGACCAATTTCAGAAAGTAGCACAGTAGTTGGGTAAATTCAGAGCTTCTCCAAGCATGGACACTGAGAACTATGTCCAGAATAGCTGTGCAAAATTTTATATGGCAAAGATGAAAATCTTTAATTCATTCTATCAATAGCATGCAATTAAATTTGTGTGTATCTGACAGTAGAATTTGGGGATGAATGGCTAGATTAAGACATAAAATTAAAACCACAAAATGACTAGAAGATTTCTTCTTTATATTGTTGTTGCTCAATTTGACACTTATGAGATTGCTTTTACAAGAAGAGGGTATTAATAAAAAGCATCCGTATTACCTCGCAATAAACTGAGAATAGCATAAGTAATGAAAATGCTCAACACTCTTCTCAAGACATCTTCATTATTAGCAAAATTAGATCCAGAATGTGTCCATGCAACAATTATCATAGCCTGAAGAAAAGAAAAAATCGTCTATGCCATTAATTCATTCTGGACAGTTATCAAATGGTTAAGCACTACATTAAGAGTTAAGGTCACCTGCAAAGCCATTATGAAGAATATCCACATTCGATCGAAACTTCTATAAAGCTGCCAAAATGTTCGGACCTCAACAAAATTAATTTTCTGCTTCCTGCTACTAATAATGCATCGGTTTCCAACAATAAATTGGCTCAGAATCTGCATAGAATATATGAGCATGAACTCAAAATCTTATATAAAAGAAGCAAACTAGAATGAAAAGGACTGATAGAGGTCAATGCATCTATGAAAAGAATTATCTCATCTCATTGAGAGCAAGGCTAGCTCTTGAGAAAAGGCTGAATCACATACCTCAGAAGTGGAAAATTAACATTGTTTTAAAATTCCAAAAACTGCAAAGTTTTTATTTGTAGTGTTGCAAACATAAGTAATTTAATACATTCATTTCATATGAAACCTTCTCAACTTTCAAGGAAAATAATTTACAATGTTCTCCTTACACCAATCTTCATAGATCTACAAAGACCCTAACCATGGATATCATTTTCGATCACTCAAGCCAAAATTGCTCAGAGCCAATAAGTTGCACTCTCTTCATTTAGTTCTTTTAATTTTTAACTAAAGAACTTAAATTTACTCATTATGTGCTCAATATGTAGTTTCTCAGACATAGTTAAACTCTTAAGTTTCCAATAAATTATTAGAGATGGCTCAAATATACCTACAATAAATTATTAGAGATGAGCATTGCCTGCACAACAATAATGATGCAGTGTTAGTAATTCAGGGATGATGAATCAAATTGGGGACCAAAGTAATCCTTGTAGATAGGCTAGAAAAATTCCTGAGACGTTTGCATCGAAGAGCTGCCATTTCTAGTGAAGCAGGACATAATCATTCATATTTCTGGAAGTTATTATTAATGCTGGAACTGTTGATTGTGTTGTTTTATGTTTACTTCAATGATTTTTTCCTTTCATAGTCAATGAATTATTTACTATTATTAATTTAAGCAAAGATTGCCATTTTGTTATGGATGTTTGTTGTTATCCTTTGATTAGACAGGTAAACAATTGTCAGTGTTGGCTATTAATGGTTTTGTTATGTTGTAAGGATAGTAACTCATTTGACTTTCTTTTTCCAATCATTTTCTTGGTTTCTGATAAAATCTTATTGCTCTTAACAAAAATAAAAGAGAACATACATGAAAAGAAAACTCCCAATAACTCAGAAGAGGTCCACTATTCTATGGTGCCTCAAACTAGATTGTTCTATTCCATCTCTCCTCCAAAAGAAATGAATCTGGAGTATTGTTCTGAACCTAAGTTCCATTAAAGATTTCTTCTATATATGTGGTTTATATACTTTATAAGTGACTCATTGAAAGATGAAACTATTTAACAATGAATATTTCTTTTAAGAGATGGTAAATACAGTTGGCATATCAATACAGATGGGAAAACAAGTATTTACTGTGGGCTAAAATTAAGAGGGAAAAAATCGTTACCTTATCTGAAGGTGGCAATGGCATCCCTTCTTTTTGCTTATGTAGCTCAGAAGAACACCTTTCAGACCTAGGAAAAAGGTAGTATATCTTACACATCAAATATATATTTGAACAGTGTAAAAGTAAAACATTATAAATTATTCAAATATCTTACCAAAAGCACTCATTTAGATCATCATAGTTGCTCCATAGAGAATGGCTTGCCCTGCCTTCTTTATTTTTATCAGCTTCCTTTCTCACCAAATTATAACAAATGTTTAGGTAGTATGTTTCAAATAGATAGGAAAAAAAATCTGTAAAATGAAATAAAATGAATATTACCTCAGAGAGGATATGGTAAATAGGAGTTATAACAGTTCTTAAAAAGTTGTCAGCTGGTTTTCGATCTGTGTCGATGCTAGACAAAACTTGATGAACATCATTTGCCATCTTAAAAGGAAAGAGGGAAAAGAACAGGATGTTACTTTTAGAAGGGATAAAACAAGGGAGGGTGGGGAGGTGTACAAATATCAATACTCCACATGATCAATCTGAAACCTATGATGCATCCTTAGACTGCATAATTTACATAATCTTCTGATACTCAATTACCATATTCTTTTCTTTCTTCTCAACAAAATAAATCTAGAATCATCACCCTCAAGGCAAAAGTTCAAGTAGAAAAACCTTATTCACAAATGACCGACATAACATGATTGGTTTGTTATCAGCAGTAAAATATTTCTTATGACGATCACGCAGATGCAGCAAGTTCAAGAATTATTTCCAGGTTGTAGGTTAGGATTTCCATTACCCACCTAAAGCCAAAGCTGCAGAAGATTGCATATGTCTGATAAAAACAGTCTCTCAAACTCTTTTACTGGTCTAATGCAGTCAATGCACAGAATTACAGCTAAGTTGGATTTGTTGACTAATGACAGAAGTGTCGATATAATGTATTTCTTCTTCTTCTTTTTTTTTTTCTCTTTTCCCTCCAGTTATCTAACATGAAAATGACAAAGTTCATATCCACAACTAAGGGCCTTTCTTTCTACACTTCAACAATTCATGAAATTTGCAGGAGACAGCTGTGACTATTTGCTCAGGCAATAGGTTGTAGACACAGCATTTTTCCATTTCCATAAAAATGGAAGCACTTGAAATTATCATTGTGACTGTACAAGAATCATGAGGTGATGGCTCATGATCTAAATGATATAAAAATTCTTGATATAACCCATTAAAGAATATGATATGATTCTTAATTATAAGCCCACTAGCTATTGCCTCAATAACAATATGGCAGATGTTGAACAAATACAAGCACCAGCTGCAACTAGAGAATATTTCATGAAGAGTGATTCACTAAAATAAAGAGTAAACGTACTTTATGGAAGATGTAGCAAATGCATTCAGGCATGAATCTAATATTTGAAGCTTCACCCCATATAAGAAGATAAAGTGCAATGTGGATGACATGTAGCTGCTGTTCCGTGTACCCCTCATGATTCCTTCGAAGAGGAAAATTCATCAAGGAAAAAAAAAACATAAAACACCAATGTGCTCAATATGCAATATAAGATCTAATACTGATTTAGTTTTAATAAATGCTTTAAAATATTTCTTTCATAATCTTCAATGACAAGATACTTTACCTAATATGTGATGGAAGATGCATATAGTTACACCATAATTGATAATTGCTGAAAATATCATCTTTCAATTGCTCTATGGTCCTTGTAATTGCCACATCCTACAACAAACACTTTATTAATCTTCAAAATATGGTGGTACATGGATGAAAATCAAGGCTGAAATTAAGTCCACTGCACGCAGATACGAAATTCAAAAAGAGACCATGATGGAACTTATATTAACAATTATTCACCTGATCATAACCTCTAAGATCCTTCTTCCTTGTATAAATACTGGCCAGTAGCAATACTAAGTGCTCCCTCTGATTCAATGCGTTCCCTCTCTTCAATGTCCCAAAAAATATGAGAAAACATCATGTAAGTGTAATGAATCAAAGAATCATCATGGACAACCAGTGTGCATTTGAAATATTGATATATCCACTGCTCCCAAGGGGACACCTCAGTGGTTAGAACTCAAAATTTCAACATGGAAATCTCGACTTTGAATCCTGAGATAAAAAGGGTAGGTTTATTGATGGAACAGGACCACCTCCGATTGTGTAGTTCCAGACCCAAACGGGTCTCCTTGTATACCAATACACACACACACACAGACTGCATTACATTTTTTATAGAAACAGTCAGGGTTTCTAGATAGGAATCCGTACTTCCATAGAGGAAACAAATGAAGTTAACGAAAAGAAGAATATAAGAAATGGAGAGAATACCTGAAATCCAAAAACAGAAGAAAGCCAATGAAATATGTCTTTTTCGACAACACCTTCAATTCTTGGGAGATTCTCCGTTTTACTTACAAATTCAACCGCAACCTCAATCTGTGTATAACCACAAGGGAAGATTAAAATTTCAAAATTTCAACACTAAGCATTAACCGAAAAAAAAGTTTTAAAAAAAAACCCAACAAAACAAAAATTAGAACCTCGGGAAGCTTCATGATCGGTGATTCATCAAATGGAAGAATGTTATAATCTTCATTCTTCCGTTCTTGACCCCACCGCAACCTTGCAAATGGCGGAGGCGGCGGCTTCTTCGTGCCGCTGATACTGGCCATGGTTGTGGAGTGGTTTTGGAGCAATGGAGAGTGATGATCATCTTGGTATACTAGCGTATAAAAATACAAGGGAATTGAATAGAATTTTTCAGAGTGTGGATTGGGTTTGGTTTCTTTTTTGCTTTACCATAGAGAGATTCTGAAAGAGCAAATCACGGAAGAAAATGCCTTGAAGAAGCCTTTGCCTTTTCTAGTTGTTCTTATTGTTTTTGGTGCTTTGGGATTTGGAGGGAGAAGAAGAACTACTTTTCTGTTCTTCTCTTTCATCCTTTCTTTTGGAGGCTTGCTGTTCTTCTTCCCGCTCAATTACGTTGGTGGGGACAGTGGGTAACTTGTCCGAGGGTTAAAGGCTGAACTGAACTACTTTAAACAAATTAAAGTTTAAACCTTTGATTTAATACAAATAGATAATATAATAACACTATTAAATAAAGAGAAAGAATAAACCTTAGTTCGCCTTTTTAGAAAAAGGAAAAACGTAGAGTTTGTTATTATAGTAATCAGAGAAAGCTTTTTGTTTTCTCAATTATCCAAATAAAAAAGAAAGCCACATTTATTTCTGTTCAAAATTTTATAATTCCAAAATGTGTTCTATTAAACACAAAAATTAAGTCATTACAAATTTTAAAACTTAAACTTTTAATGATTGTTGTTAATAAAAATAAAAAAATAATTTTTTGTTATTACATATTTATTTTCACCATTACAAAATTTTTTGACATAATATTCAAAAAAAAATCACTGCATTATTTACAAAAATTTAAATAAATTATTTTTATATTTTCACTAACTGTATGCATACTAATATAATACGATGAGTGGGCATATTAGTGTTGCGGATCCAAATTTAAAATGATAAATTATATTTTAATTAATGATAATTAATTAAATATTAATTATAAAATTTTATTTAATCAAAAATAAAAATAAAAAAAATTAATTAAATATAATAAAAAATAAATACTTATTAAATTTTATCCCAAATCAAACCCATACCTTTAAGTAGCTTCTTGCTCCATTATCTAAAAACAAACGATGGGGGCCCCGTCTGTTCTACTTTCTTAACATTTCTTGCTTAATTATTTCATTGGAGTTCTAATAATATTAAACAGAATCTTATTAGGTCTGTTAATGATCTGATCAAATAAATGGTTGGAGCATATGTGCAACTTACTCTCAACATAACTGCCTCTGCCAAAACCTCAGGATGTATTTACAAAATAATGCTTAAGAATCAGAGATCCTACAAGCAGGTCTCTTTTACTCCTATACCAGTTCTATAGCACCTATATACAATCATCTGATGTCGAACCATGGTTATTCGAATTTGTAATGCACCAATTCCTGAGTCCTGCATTGCAAAATTCCATCAATTTTTCCCCTTGGAACCACCAGAAATAACCATAATGTGATCCCTTTTTTAGATGTCCGGACAATACATACATTAAATTGGACTTGCTCTCGACACCTGCAATGTAAAGCAAACGACCATTCGGTGTTTCTCATCCATCATGCAATATCAAGAAAAAGAACAGGGGAAAAGGCATATGACAGTAATAATCATCATGAAGCAGATAAATGAAACATTGCTGCTACATGTTTATACCAGTTTTTACCAAATGCAGGGGCAGATGTCTAGTGAATTTGTATAATTTACTGGATTGATCAAAAAGCTCAATTGTAATCTCATAGTTCCTATAAGTTGTTATCAAATTCAAATAATTGAAAATTTTGTGATAAACTCAGTCCACTAGGTTTAGGCAATGAAATAACCAAGGGAGTGTCAAAATCGTAGGATATTAGCAGCAGCTATCTTAAATGTAGATAATATATTTACAAGTTCATGTCTACTCTTCTTTTCCGTAAGGTAATTTGGCAATTGTCCAAGTCCATCCTTAGAAAAAGCAATGTGAGGCAATTGAGCCTCTGCAGAATAATGATATTTAGTACTAAAGAAATGTTTGAAAAGGGGGCTCAAGCTATTGCGCTAAAAAAAAAAGGGAAGGTTCAAGCTATTGGGCAAAAAAAAAAGGGGAGATTCAAGCAGGATTAGCTGGAGATAAAAATAAGTTTTGAGCTCTAACACACAGAGGCAACTAGACAAACATTGCAGCAATGCAAAATGCTAGAGAAAAGCCAATGGGTATCTCCTAAAGTTTAAAGCATGACAGAAGACAATTAGCAAAAAATAAACATAACATCTTATACTTGTTTCTGACGAAAGAGACAGTACACCTTAGAGCTAACATTTTATTCATAATTTAAGCAATCAGCATATCATTCTTCCTCTCCTAAAATTCAGTACATCATAACTTATGTAAAACTCACCCTAGCTTAAGTAGTTTGCTAACACATTACGCAGTTAAAGCAAATGCCAATAGAAGTAGATACCTGATTCTTTGAACTTGTAGCGGTAGCCCAGTATTGATGATGCTGCATTCCTGCTGCCCCATAACTGATAAAAGTTATTGTTCTTGACTGTACTTGCCTACTAACTGTGGGTGGGGCTGGCAGCTCTCTCATGACCCATAATACAAAAGCAAAGGGGACTGATGAACCTGTCAATAAACCTCAACGAATGACTCAATACATAAGACAGAAATGTAACT